CGTGGAAGAGGTGCGGCAAAGCGACCGTTGGGAAAGCCGTCAGAGCATCAGGGCAGTAGAGAGCGTAGTCAATCCTTTTGGTGCCCCACCACTTGGCAGCAACTAGAAGCAAAAGACTTGTTCAGACAAAGGGGGTTCACATGCGCGCACGGTCTCTGCCACAAATGGTATTTCGAGGCTCTGGCTCCTCGCTCCAGGTATGCCAGGGGTTGCTCCCTGGCTGGTCGCACTGCTAAGAGGGAACAACCGACCCAGGGCTCAGCATTTGCTCAAACCAGGAGCACCACCACTTGAGCCTCTCCTTTATTTAAGCAAATAGGAAGGCACTAGAGGGATGGTATTAATTGGGTGTTAGTGCCCAGGGAAGGGGTCCAGGGCTCACGTGCAATGAGCCTGGGAATCCACGTGCCAAAACATAAGACAGAAACACATCTCCCTGGAGCTGTGGGAGGAAGGGGGGTGTGCGCTCTGCTCACCGTAGTACATGCCCAGGCCATCTCCGGCCCCACATCCAACTCCTTTAGCTTTCACCATAGAATAAAAGACCTTTCAGCATCCAGATACTGGCCGCACTAAAGAGGACCTGAATACTGGGAGCCCATGTGAGATGCTAAAAGGCACCACAGGGCAGGGTGCTATAGCATGTGCTACTGGGATTGGCAGTTCTCAACAAATCCTGGTTGCCTTCCTGGGCTACCACATTGTAGGCAACAGAGATGTCCAGCCCAGCCTCGCCAGGAGCACAATCCCTGCAGCAGTCAACAAGAAAAGTGTCCAGGGGTGCTGAGACTCCATTGCAGGTGGGACTGAAAAATACACTGGGACTTGGGTGGGCAAGGTTACAGACAACGCAGAAGGGTTTCTCCCCCAGGGAGTCAACAACTTGCACACAAGTGACCGACAGCCACCCTTCACCCACGGGACATCACCACACTTCAGTGCTGCCCTGAGCTCTGCCCATGCACACATCCTTTCCGACTCTCTAGTAATGAGCATGTCTCAGACCCCAAAGGTGTGGGCTGCTTTCCCAGCAGTGAGGAGTCCTCAACCCCCACATGCTCTGGCTTGGAAAAGCAGCTAAGGAAAGAGAAGATGGATGAGATCAAGAGAGCAACAGGAGGAGCTGCGTTTGCATGCAAGTTGCAAGCTGGGGCTTTGACAAGGGCTTTCTCAAAACTTGGTTTTTCTCTGTGACAATGTTCCCTTTTTATCGACTTCCAGGAAAGCTGCCAGGTAGAAGGTACAATCCAACAAACCCCACCTGGTAAGTAAAATCTAGCTGGTGAAGAGCACAGATGCTGAACTGAAAAAATGGACCCACCAGCTCCTTCCAGAGACCTGCACAAAGCTCCCACCGTAGACCTGCACAAAGCTCCCACCACAGCAGCGTGCAGAGGGTTATGGCATCAGCACATCCCCATGCCCAGGCCTGGCTGTGCTGAGTGCCCAGGCCACCCTCATCCTAATGGCCCTTGCTTTTCTGAAGAGCCATGGGAAGGAGGAGGAGGGTGTTGATGGATCAACATGGCTTTTCCAGAGCACACAGGCACCTCCTTAGAGCCATTTCTGACTCCCTGTCTTCCAAATTGGCAGCTCCTGGTCATGTCCCAACCTTTCATTTCTCATGCAAGTCCCCAGCTTGGGTAATTTCAGATTCGTCGTAGGAAGCAGACAGGATTTACTCTTCCATGCTCAAAAGACAGTGCTGGAGGCAGAAGCGTTGTCCCCACAGCTCTGCCCAGACCTCCTGCTCTTGCCCAGTTGTTAGCTGTGTTATGATTGATCTTTGGAGCAAAGTGACAGAAATACTTGTTAAAGTGCAATTAGAAATTGCAAGTGCCTCAGTGAAAGCGCATAGATTTGTTGCGAAGTTCTGTGGCTACTGAATGAGAAAGGAGGTCGACCAGAGTGGATCTCTCCAGAATACCTGTCTTGATGTCCAGGTCGGGTATCCGAAGAGCACAGCCTGCAGCCTGACTCCATGGCCCTTTGAGCTTTCTTCCCTTCAAAGGAATTTCATGTTTATGCTGCCTATGTCTCTTGGAGGAGGTTTGGGTAGGGGATTTGTGAGGGAGGGCAAGTTGGGACAGAAGGCTAAACCCTCTACAATGATTAAGGTGGTGTTTGGTTTCTAAAAGGCAAAATAAAATAAAAAAAAAGAAAGCAGAAATCACACTTATTATGGCACACACATGCTGCAGGCAACACCAGTTTCATCCTCCAGAAATTCACAGCGCAAGGGAAGCTGCACCCTAGGGAGGGCTCCCAGGAGGGAGCCATGGTTTTGCAGTGCCCCTCTGGACTTCCTCCGGCTCTCCCTCTGGGATACGCATGGACGGCATCCAACCCTCAACCCCACGGTTTCACATTACCACCACACTAATAAGGTCAAGCACAAGAGCTGCAAAGCCAAAGCCAGGGCTCAGAGGACGTATCGGCACTCGGGGGGTGAAGGAAGGGGCTGCGACAGCCCTTGGGGCAGGCAGCACACGGGGTCAGGGTGCGTGCACAGCCCATGCCGGGGCTGGACTCTTCCCCTCCGATCTCAGAAGTGGGTTTTGATGGCTGTGAAGTGCATGGAGGAATAAATTACACAAACCAGAAGCTAAATAATTGGGGAGAGCGTGGGGAAAGCAATGAGAGGCAAGCGTTGCGTGGGCCTGATCCTGCCATCAGCTTGCAGAGGCAGGATCCCTGCATCGCATCATGCGGGCCTTTAGGCATCACCCCGGCGTAAACACTTCGCAACGAACAACCACTGTCCCCCGCTTCCCCTCCTGGCCAGCCGAGCTCGGCAGCTCGCCACGGGTGTGAAACCAGCACAAAACAAACACCTTCTCCCCCAGGAGCCTTCTTCCAAAGCAGACAAACATTTAGCAAGAGCTTGGCAAGACTTCTTACCAGGACAAATAGAAGAACGCACGCAGGGAGTGCGGCGTCAGCTCTCGGATGTGCTTTGGGAAAGCAAACCTCCTTTGCCAGAGCGCGGGCAGTTTACTTCTGCTGCCGAGTGTCACCTCAAACAGGGCAAGAAGTTACGGCAGCCCCTGACCTTCAGCAACTGCCGCTTGCCTCGGGGAACATTATTAACCTCAGCAATTAATTATGAAGTGAGTTGTTCATAGCCCTGTAGTCTAATGTGCCAGGAATGGAGTATTTCTAAATTTTTGCCACCTTCTGGGACAAGAGTTTGGGCCAAAGGGGTTTTTTGTTGTTGTTTTTTCATTTGTTTGGTTTTCAGCCTTTTCTGCTTGAGTAATCAGAGGTCCCTGAGGATGCAGGCTGTTAATCTCACACTTCAGCTGAAACGAAGAAAGGCTGAACCATTAACAAAGGCTCTTGTTTCCCCCTGTATTAGCTGGGAAGTTATACAGGTCTTGGGAAAAATAACAAAAAATCCCTTTTATTCCCCATTTGGCTCTGGGATATGGGTCATAACTGGCTGACTCTCTGAGCTGCCCTGCGGACTCCAGAAGAGCCAAATCACTCATGCAAAGTAATAAATAACCCAAACCTGATTTTCCTTTTCAGCATTACAGAGGGGCCCGCTTGTCCCCATTTTTGTGGGCCACATTTAAGTGATCTGCATCAAGCCACACACCACATCCTGCATTATCAATCTGGCCATGCTGATCCCTACTAGTTCTGCATGACTTATCAATGGCAGCACAGAAACATCCCTTTGGATTAGCCCTCCCCACGCACAGCAGCCAAGTGCTACTCAGAGTTATCTATTATTATTTTTTTTTTTCTTTTAACAGTTTATCACCAGCACAGTCCAACATGCATAACACAGCAGTGGCCCCTGTATTATAATCAGATATATCACCTGTTCCTCCAGGGGATATGATAACACGCAGCACTGACTATGACAAAACCAGGTGAAGGCGGAATAATTCCATTTTTTTGTTATAAACAGAAAGTACAACCCCAGACAGACGGACAGACAGAAGCTGCGTGGCTCTGGCCCAATGCGTGGTGCTGAGAGAGCGGTGCGGCAGCGAGCGGTAGTCTTGGAGGGGGTGAAACACTTACTGTTGGCTATGTTGGAAGCAGTGTAACTGTCTGCCATTCCTGAGACCTGGCTGGCAATGCTGATCTCACTGGCTCTTCGGAAGCCCCTGAACTGAGGGGCTGAAATGGGGGTGGACAGGGACGCGCTTTCCATGAAGACGGCACCATGAGACTGAACAACATCTGCTACAAAGTTGAAACAGGGAAATCAAAATATTAGACCAACAGACAGAGGCTGGGCAAGATGAACTCGAGGGGAGGAAGGAGGCAAACAAGACTGGTAGATGCAAAAAACCTTTCAGAACTGATTGGAATGAAAAAAAAAATTCATCAGAGCTCTGATTTGAAAAGAAAGCAAACACCACAGCAGGCAGAGAGACATGTGGCTGGAGGAGCAGTCTTTGATTGAGAGAAGCAAAATAAGTAGCTCAAAAAACAAATTGAAAACCCCAAAGAAAAATCCAGGCAGACTTACTCAAGCAGCAATAACAGAAGCATGTGTCATACATACAGATGTGAATATACACAACTTCATATATCCACATCAAGACAAAATAACCAAGGTAAGGAGAACAACAAAAAACAACCTTAGAAAGGGGATATTTGTTTTCTTGAAACATTTAGACTTAAATTAACATCTCCAAGATAGAAGCATTAATGCAAAAAAAAAAAATAATAAAAAAATCAGAAAACATTTTCATGCCTGGCAGGGACTAAATTTGAGCTTGTATTTTATTGCTAATGGATACAGCCAACACTCGTTAAACTGAAGTAAGGGCTATTGAAAGAAAGGAGTCTGGTGCTGAGCACTTACATCTCCAATCGGTGTTGGCGGATCAGGGAGCGCTCAGTCTCTGTGAAAACAGAGCTTCTTTTGTACAACGTGCAAGTCTGGATTTTTAGATCCCAACCTGAGGTTTACCAAGTGTGGCCTAACCCTTTAGTACATAAATACAGAAAAGGAGGATTTAAAGTCATGTTCACATGGGACCTTATACATGTATTAGAGGGAAATGGACCTACTATGTTCAGGACTGGCAAACCGAGAGATGCTGAAAGTCACGATAAAATCTCTGCCCTTCAGTTTCCTCCCCTCTGTGGATGCTATGAGGCAGAATTAAGTGTCTGTGGGATGCCCCAAGATCCCGCAATGCAGAGGGTTTGTAATGCCAATACCCAGCATTTCGTAGCAGGCAGCACTGGTATGATGCTAACACACAAAAGCACAGCTACTTACTGTCATCTGAACATTGCCCATCTCTGCTGTACCTGAGGAGCAGCATCTGAACTTTATTCCCAGGTATCAGACAGGGCACAGGTTTGTGCCCAGCCAGGCAGTAGGTGCCACGGGGAACGCAAGTACATTACTCCCGCACACCAACATCCTCTGCCTATTTCAGCCAGTTTAGATATCCTTGAATTTCATCCCAGCATGCAGCTGACACAAGGCGTTGTTTTGGCAACTGGTTTATTTTAATATCAATCTTGCTTGCTTGGGGCTACTAATTTGCTTCCTCCCATCTCTCAGTTCGCAGCAGCAGCGTCTGTGCCCACACAAATCCTGCTGCAGCGGAGGGAAAGGGAACGTATGAAACAGAAAATGCGTAGCTAAGTGTTGGTAAAAGAGTTCTGTTCTCTGCAGGGAAAATCAGGCCACATGCTGCTCTGTGTAAAAGCTTCATGGACTGCAAGATCTGAGCCCTAGCAGGAGCCTGACCTGATGATGAGCTACACACACTGCCCACGTTGTCCCTGAAAGGCCATTACCAGCATCACTTTCTCAGCACTTTCCTCCTCTTTTCACCTCACCTTGAGATGCTGGCTGTCAAGGCTGCTGCCAGTATCTGCACCCCAGCCAGCCTCACTAGCCCAGCATGGCTTTCTTACTGGAGGAGACAATTCAAGCAGAGGCTGTATTCTGAGATCACGAGCCAAGCCAGGAGCTGCATTCAATCCCACAAAGGTCTCAAGGGTAAAGGGTCTCATTCCCAACCCTCTCACCTCTTCCCTGGTTACCCCTTCCTCTCCTTTCCCTTGTTTATACAGACTGCGAGATCCTTCTGCAATTACACCCCCGTGTCACATCAAACGGGTGCCCCAACACAGCTGTAACACAGACGATGACCATCAGCTTCCCTGAACTCGGTCAGATGCAACAAGAGGTTTGGCTTTGTCTACGCTAGGAAAAATGTCAGGCTCAGGTTTAACTAACACCTACCAACAAAGCCCGAACTTCTTTCTCTCCCTTAAATATAAAACATCTGTGGCTTGAATTAGGAAGCAGCTGGAAGACACACTAAAGAGCATTTACAGCAATGCTACACAGGAGAAAAGGCTGGGCCAAATGTGGTGCTGCCTGGGTTGATCATGGCTCCAGCTCCATTACTGTGTCTTCACTTAGCTCTGCCTGAATTTCATCTCCTTTTTTGAGGGCCCAGAAAGTGGAATGTGAATAAAGGAACAAACAGTGGTATTTTGGGCTTGCTCCTTTTAGCTAATCTTGCTTTTCTGGGCCTTACTGGGCATTTTTGAGTACAATGAGTTTGAAGCAAAACCCAACCTCAACAGCCTTCCAAGGCCATCCTAGCTAGTGTCGCCACTGGAGTCATTTTCACTCCTATGACAGCCTAAACTGTTTTAGCGTTACTGAACTGTTCAGCTTGCTATCACCCGCGTTGATGGCAGGAGTCTGCTCTGCAGGGGATAAAGTGCTGCCCAACAACAGCACTTGCTCCTGTGCTCCAGCCCACCCGGGCTGCTCTCATGTTTCTCCTATTTCCCAAGCTACACACCCTGAAAAATGACAGTTTCTAAGAAAAATGAGGGCCAGGAAAAGGCAGGGGCAGAAACGTAGACAGAAAACCTGGTTTATGCATCACTACCCCTTCAGCTAAGCTTCCTTTACCCCAAAGCTGCACTGATAGCGACTTCCAGATAAAAACCTGGCACCTGACTTGCAGAAAAACCCCTTAACAATGTAATTCCTAAACTCAGTGTATTTTTTTCACCAAATCCCGTACACAGAACCAAGGGGGCCTTCTTGAGGAGTGCAGTGACCAGGGCGGGATGTCGCAGATGCTGCTGTGCCAACACAGGCTGACCCCAGCACCTGTAACCGCTCCTGCTCCCTAAGGACCACATCTTGTGCACTACAGGGGTTGCATCCCCAGCTGCAGCTCAGGTCCTGGCAATCATGGGGACGTTTCTCAGGCAAGCACTTCCAGCCCAGGGTGAAGTCGGATGGCTGGACCAGGACCAGCAGTACCAAGACTTTCCTCAGGACCAGATGTTCGTTTGGGTTGCTAGACAAGGACAGAGGTGCCACCAGTTTACTGCATTGGCTGAAGTGTACTCTGTACCTTGTCTGAGGTCAAACTTTACCAGAATGAGGAAGCTTCGGCAAGAGAAGACCCAGCTGGAGCGGTGCCCTGAGCACCCTCTCTCCCAGCAAAGCACCTCCTGCTGTTTGAACTGCAGCACGCACCCGTCGGGCCAGTGCAATGAACTGGGATTTAATTGCACTTCCACAGGAGGTGACATAAGAAGCAAAATCACCATTTTTTTTTTTCTATCTATGGATCTTTAATACTCATTTCAGTGCTGTGCCTTTTCATTTATGGACTCGTTTGTCAGTGTTCTTACTAATTGTTTCCCACTAAGTGAACGGCACTGGGCCATCCTCCTAATGTACTGCTGGCACTGCGTTAAGTCCTTGGGGTATCCGAATGGCAGATTTCAATATCTGCTATTTGCAGGCTGAGCTGTGGCGCCGAAGCGGGAAATACTGAAAGCAATCAAAAATATGTAAAGTTCAATAAAAATAAAAAAACAGAAAAGCCAGCCAGCTGCTCAGCACAGGCCAGACCCTGCTTGCACTGGAGTCACTGGTCAGCACTGGGCACTCTGCAGTCACTACTCTGAGATCAAGAGCACCACAGATTTTGGTTGTCCATAAGTTTTTATGATTCTGGAAATTTCCTGCAGTCCAGTGGCTGAACTGGGATTCAGCACTTGCTGCAGTCAAGCCAAGTGCTGCTTGGCCACACTGTGCTCTTGACACACAAGGTAAAGAGCAGAGAAGCTTCTGAGAGCTCTGTCCTGACAGCAGGAAATATCAGATGACAGCTAAATGGCATTTCATCAGTGACCTCCAAAGTGATTAATAATAGTACCAGATCCTTTCCCTCTGCTTTGTTACAGAACATCACAGCACAGGCAACACGGCAACTGCATACCAAAAATCATCTACATCTTCAAAAGACAAAGGAAGAGACAATCTGCAATTGTCAGCAGTGTTGCCATCCTGTATGACCACATAACGTACTGGGCTGCTCATAAACAGCAAGGGTCAGCTTGTTAAACAAGGCAGCAGAACCAAGCTCTCAATGCAAAACGCTGAAAAAGGGGTAAGAACGGGCAAGTAAGACACATGGGGAAGAAAAAACTAAAACAAAGTAAAGTCTCATTAAAATCACAGATGTAGCACCAGCCACAACCAGAATAAATGAAGCCATGCAGCATTTATGATGGAAAATAAGGCAAAACAAAACGCATCAAACTTTGCTTTTAAGGCAGAAGTTGAGAAATTTTAAAAAGCCAACACGTATAGCCACCTTGGGGTCTGAAAGCCTCATTCACTGTATTCAGCAGTGCCACAAGAAGTGTCCAAACATGAAATATTCAAAGGGACAAAACCTGTTCTGGCAAAGACATTAATCCGAGTTCCGGCCACGGTGCAGTGCGGCTGACTGCTGGGAAGACACATGCTGCAGACCAGCAACCCATTCCTGGGGGATCCTGCGCATGGTGTATACCGCACGAGCAGGGCCACCCAAAGACTCTATCTTGCTGCATCAAAGCCTCTTTCCAGCAGCATAGCCACCACAGATGGAAAAAAGTAAGTACGTGGCAGCAGTCCCCCCTTCCAGCATCAACACCAGATGATGTTTTTGCATGGTGGGTCTCCCAGACCAGGTATACTGAAGCATGGTCCCAAATGGTTGTTTCATGCGGCACAGCCTGAGACACAGCATGAAGATTTCAACTCCAGAAGGCCAACAGTACGATCTCCAAAAAGCACCCCAAGTACCCAACACCATAGACAATACAAAAGTGTAGATTACACACACTCAGAAAAACCAGCACTTTTATTGGAAACATCTTGCCAATTCAGTACGGGAACGGGGATACTTGTTTCCATGAAGCTGTCCTGGTGCTGGAGAGCACCCAGAGGGCTACTTTCCATGAGGAGGATGGGATTGTTCTGGATTGTCTCAACTAGAAGCAGATGGGAAAAAAAAACAAAACAAAACAGAAGGACAAAGAACAACAGACATGCGGCCACAAAGTGTTAACATACAGTTACAACTGAGCACTTCAACTATGAGTCTTCAATGAAAAGACAACCTTCAAGTAGAGTAAAAGAAACAAAACATGGGTGACTGTCCAAATAGACCCACATCAGAAAGATTAACTGGTAGCAGAGGAGAGGACAACGATGGCATTTCAACAACAAAAGAAAAGGGAGTCCTCTTAATCGGCTTCTCCAATGAACCAAAATCCACAAATACCCAGCAGATCCAGAGAAATCTTTTTACTACAAGGGGAAAAGGAGTATGCTGTAAGGGGAGATTTACTTGACTCAGACTCACAGCCTACACAGTGCAAAGCACAGGAGTAAGCAAGGATGTGAATTTAATTTCACTCTGCAAGTTGGCTGTAATGAAACAGGGATCCAACTTTTAGTACAGATGGGAAAACGAAAAAAAGTCTAAGAGGCTTTCTGAATTGTGGACTTTAAAAAAGCTAGCTATCTGCACAAGGAGACATCCATAAGCAGTGTTAACAGAAGGTTTTGTACGTAACTATTACAATTGAGCACCTGAATTTTACGTGATCACCAAATCATATAGCTTAATTACAGCAGCAATTAACTTTTCTGGAGCACCCTACAGTGAACACTAACTTCAGTAGCAGCTTTGCAAATCATGGTTAGAACAGTCCTTCTGCATAATGTGTAAATCGCAGCAATGAAGTTTTGACTCTAATGGAAAGGAATAGCCTGTTACTTCATGATAAGCAAATGAAGAGGCTTTGTCTTACACGAGGATAGAATTTAAAGCTGCTTTTTTTGTCAGTTTTATTCATCACGGCAGAGCAGCATCTCTTAAAATAACAAGGCTCAAACCTGAAGAGGGTTTTGAAATCAGTCTACCCTTCTCATAGCTGAGCTAATTGCTGTTTAACTCCTCTCCACTACATAGCAAGTGTCTCTCTAAACACAGCCAACTCAACAAAGGTCTAGGGAGGCACAGCAAACTAATAAGATCCCTGCTGTTGCACAGAATGATAACCAGAACACAGGTTGCTCAGTGTCAGCAGGGCTTCTACCTCTGGCTTCAGTGAGAACAGGGGATTTTAAATGTATTTATGAGGAAGAAGGGAAGATGTTTAGCGTTTTGGGTTTTTTTAAGAAGCCACTTGCAGCCGATACCTAGAATACACCCCAAAATCAAATTGCTTTTCAAGTTGCTATAGATTCCCTGTGGTGTTGTAACTGGACTGGGTACAAATGTAATTGTGGGTGGATCCATTTTTTAAAAGTATTGTAGCAAGATCTTTGCTAAATTTGACAAGTGAGTGGGGCCTGCAGCAAGTAGTTGATTCGCTTCATTAAGCTTGGGTTTTAGTTTATATCCATTTAACAAATCAGACCTCCAGATTCAGCAATTACAATACAATCTTTAAAGATACTCATACATAGGAGAACACTGCTTTGCATTTTCAATTTAAAAATGATGCAGAGTATCACCAGAATTACTCAGCTCTAGATACATATTCCTCCTCATTTAGTCCTGCATGATTCAAATATTAAACAAATGGAAAGCTACCAGAGCTTTAGGAAAAAAACAACCACCAAATTCCAGTTTTCCTAGCTGGTGGTTTTGATATTCTACTCTGGTTTGCCAATGTGATTTTTTGTGTGCTGTAAATCTAGTTTTACAGTAGCAACTCTTAATTGTAATGTTGGCTTTAAGTAGCCATTGACTAACAACCTCTAGCAAGGGAAAAATTATAGCGCATTTTTTCTTCCTGCCCCAAAGCCCTGACCGTGCAGGGAACCAAAGCCTTAGGTGAAGCAGAAAGGTCAAATTTAGTTCTGCACAGTGGTGAGCTTCTGCGAGAGCTCCTTGCAATGAGAGCCTGCACTGAAATGGCAGCAGACCATGAGAGTCTAGGCACAGAAGTGAGGTGAAGATGGTAGGAAATAGAATTTATTAGATCAACTGCAAGAGCACTGATGTAATGGGAGCTGAGGCAGGGCATGGTCAGGACACAGTTGTTTCAAATGCAACCCGGTAAGACAAAAGGGCATGCACACAGCCATTTTAGACTTAGTTACTGCTGCAATTGGGGTAGAGCAAGTGAAGAGGCCACTGATGGCAGAGGAATCCTAGGTATCCTAGGAAGACAAAGTGTCTCATTGGCAAGGTGGCAAGGGCAAGGCACTGTTACCAGCCCACAGATCTGCATTTGCCTGTCCCATGAAAAAGCACAGGTTGGAACCAAGTGCTCAGGATCGGTGCATCCCTGTGAGCAGGAAATCAAGTAAACGAGGTAAGAGGCCTGCATGGATGAACAAGGAGCTTCTAGTGAAACTCAAAGAAAAGGGTAAGCTCCATGGAATGTGGAAGGAGGGTCAGGCCACTTGGGAGGCATACAGGAAAGCTGCCAGATCATGTAGGGAAGCTACCAGAAAGGCCAAGGCTCACCTGGAACTGAGTTTGGCAAAGGACATCAAGAACAACAAGAAGGGCTTCTTCAAGTATGTCAGCAGTAAGCGTAAGACCAGGGGTAATGTGGGACCGCTGCTGAATGAAACGGGTGCCCTGGTGACAGAAGATACAGAGAAGGCGGAGCTACTGAATGCCTTCTTTGCTTCAGTCTTCACTGTCGAGGCTGGCCCTCAGGCTCCCCAGTCCTGGCTGGTAAGCGAGCTAGCTTGGAGAAAGGAAGACCTTCCTTCTGTTGATGTGGATCAGGTTAGGGATCTTTTAAGGAAGCTGGACACCCACAAGTCCATGGGCCCCGACGGAATGCACCCGCGAGTGCTGAAGGAACTGTCAGACGTCATTGCGGAGCCACTCTCCATCATCTATGAAAGGTCGTGGAGAACAGGAGAGGTGCCTGATGACTGGAAGATAGCCAATGTCACTCCAGTCTTCAAAAAGGGCAAGAAGGAGGACCCAGGGAACTACAGGCCGGTTAGTCTCACCTCTGTCCCTGGAAAGGTGATGGAACAACTCATTCTAAGTGACCTCTCCAAGCAAGTGGACGACAGACTAGATGATCTCCTGAGGTCCCTTCCAACCCTTACGATTCTGTGATTCTGTGATTCTGTGTGATTCTGTGAAATCACATCATTATCTCACTGTTGACTCTTCTCCTTCCAGTCTTCACTGGCCCTCCAAGCATCAAAGTCCTAAACTCTGTCAAATTAAACACATTTCATTCAGTACCAACCACAAGCACCAGCCTGGGGGTGTATGACAGGGACCTTCACAGAGAGGTCACCACATCACGACTCTCAGCAGCTGATGGCCTTTGTGTGACAAGCAAAGGGCGCAAGGCACTGATTTTCTTGGAAGAAAACTACTTTTCTGGTAAATTGGGAATAAAGCTAACATTATAGGGCCAATTCTCTTTCTTGTCATTCCCAATTGCTTTGATAATTTCATGTAAAGTGTGGATACAAGCCTTTAGACAGCTAATATGGATCCAAACTGACTTACCCAGAACAGCAGAATTGCCATCACCCAGCGGGAACCTCTGGTAACGAGGAATATTAAAGGGAGGCAAAAGGTAGAACTTCCTCTCCAGAAGAGGCTCGAGGCGTGAAGCAGATGGGTCTGCAGGGTGGAACAGGTTATAGACCTGCTGACAGGCTGGTCTGAGCTGAAAGACTAAAAAGATGAAGAAAAAAAACCCTCAAGTATCAAAAGGTTATTTGTTAGAATATTGTAAATATTGTAAAAAGGACAACTGTTAGGCTAAAAGAAGTGCTAAGATTTATCACCTCCCTCATCTTCCAGTTTTGTCAATTGAAACAATTTATCACAATAATTGCCCGGTATTTTTAATGTTTGGAAGTACATTGCAAATAAATTGTATAATCAGTACTGGCTAGAGCACACAGTGATCTGCTTCATTAGGGTGCAATAAATATTATATATAAATATTTGGGTTTTACCAGTTTGTCTCATCAAGTTACTGGATTTGTAGCAGGAGGTGCTTACACCATCCACTAAGCAAGCTGCTCAGCAGTTTACATCAGGACTTACTGTCAAGAGCTGGAATGACAGTTTTTCGCAGTGCAAGAACCAGACCCAAGGGAGAACCAAAGAGGAAGAAGTCAGTGATCTCAAATTCAAACTTTCCAATATTTCCTCCATCCAACATAGTAGAGCTACTAGATCGCCTGGATCCCGGGTCATTTCTCAGCACACTAGAATGTAAACTGAGACAAACAGAAAATAAAGACAAAATTTTATTCATGCTGTTCTTTCATAATTGAAGGCCAGATAAGCAATTGACAGCGAGTATAATTTCTCTCTCTTCAGTGAAGGAACTGTGCCAATCAACCCACCGTGCCTCAGTACTATAGTTTTACTAGCCAGTAAAACAACCCCCAAACAATTACCCCATTTTGTTGGCACAATTCAGACTGCACAAATCCAAGCTTCAAGTGGGTTCATTTACACACTCCCGCCTCCTCAAAATGTTTTTTCTTTGAGGAGTCAAAATCTTGATTGCTGCTAGCAGAATGGTCATTTGCACGATAAAACAACCAGCAAGCCAAAATTACTAGAGTAGCAGGGAAAAAAGCAGGTTTACAGTGATTCACTCCATTACACACGTTACTGCTACGCTTTCTGACTGTCAACATTTGAGTTCCTTCCATCACCTTATTCTTAAATGTTACGGAAAGCTGTGCTTACCCATTTCTTCCTCATGGAAGTAGTTGGACAAATGTTATAGGATCGAAAAGGAAAAAGAGAAAGAAAAAGAAAAAAAGGAGAGGAGAGAGAAGAAGAAAGATCAAAATCTGCAAGAGAGTTTCTAATATCTTTGTGCACCCGGTCTGCAGCACAGCTTCCATGCATGTGTATGGCACTCACTGGGAATGGCAATTTGGGGCAATTAACTCAGTGGCCATATGGTAAATTATATTTATCGTGCACCCAGGACTCTCTCATTTCTCTTCTGCCCATGAGGCCACATCTGTCAAGTTATTACCAAACTACTTCTCAACCCCAACCCAACAACTCCAGGTAACTGTACTTAAAAAGAATAATGGTATAACACATGTCTAGCTTTTCCCCCCTCTTTCACGTGTTGAATCTCTGTGTAAAACTGAACCTATGTGCAGTGCAGGCTGGGCAATACACAGGTTTAACACAGAGATTTAAATTCACTTATTGCTTAGACACTGAGAAAGAAAAAGCAGGAACTCTTTGATGAAAATCCTGGGAATCCACCCCCCTGTTAGGAAGCAGTGCTTCTTTGCCATCTAGATCTGGGATTAGACAGCGAAATGATAAGATGGGTAACACTAATAACCTGGTTCACAAAAGGGTTTCTGAGATTCTTCTGTTATCATCCAAAAGCAGTAAGCTGCAATTTCTTCTGCTCTCCAGGTTCTACAGATTCCGATGGCAGCCTTGCCGGGTTATCATCATTATAATTAGAAGCAGAGAGTTGAAGACAGAGTACCAGCAGTGACTTAACAGGGTATTTGCAAACACTTTAAAAAGCATCTGAACAGGTTCTATAAAATAAGTAGGATAAATGGATACCGCAACAGTTGGGTTGGATAAAAGGTTTACTTGTCTGGAGTCAGGGATGATGCAAATGCATCTCTTGCCCACTCTGTGGTCTCAAGTCAAAATCCCAGGTGGTCACCAGCACTTGCCGTCTCTCCGTATGCAATAGCACTTGCTCATCAAGGCCACTTCTGAACGCAGTGTGCTGGCTGCCTGGCTGGGCAGCAACATCCCAGCACTGCTGTGCTCATGGAAACAGTGCGCTCAGTCCCCACCATCTGTAGCACTTGAGCTTGCTCACACATGCTCCTCATCTGGGATAGCCATTCAGTAAATGAACAGCTGCAAATACTCACAAATTTGGGATGAAAAATGGGTTTCACTCGGACTTTGTCTTCCTGCTTTGGCAAATAACACATCATCCCAGAGAGCACCTCTGCTGACCACCACTCCCAAAGGATGCTAAACAACCTTCTTCTCATCCCACATTGTCATGTATCCTCTTAAAGGTGCACGCGTGCACACACACAGTACTATTCTCCTGGTTACCAACTGCAGGGAAGTAACAAGCTTACTTATGACGTACATATCACAGAAAGTCAAAACAGTGATGTCAAAAGTGAGAGGAACAGGAGGTTACAGCAGTGACAGCTAAAATGAGCACGTTCCCATTTCTGTGATGTGAATGAGCTTCCTCGAGATCACACTGCCAAGACACACAACGCCGAAACACATTTAAAAACAAGCTACCTTCAGTGAAGCTACAATTATTTTAGGTGACAGGACTGCAACGCATTAAGTTTGTTGTGTGTAAGGAATACAAAGTTATTTAGAACACGTTCAGTTTTGTCGAAGACAGGGTGACAGCAACGTCATTCAAACAAAGGCACAAAAGGAAAGACTATCCTGATGGCAGATGTGCTATGGCAGGGTGGGTGCAAGGGTTTTTTGGTGTATTCCACCCATCTTCCCACAGCATCTCTTCGTGGGGAATGGAAGAGAACGAGCACTCGTACTGCTAAGCAATTTGGACAGCTTCTCGCCTTTTACTGGGAACTTGATTGTCTTTTTAACAACCAAACGAAATGAGAGCCAAGGGGAACTCTGAATCTGTCATGCTCCAAGCAACCTACAGTGCCCTGTTCTCCCTTTAAAAAGCAGCAGATGTACTGTGTGCATTAATTAAACAAGAGCTTATGGATTTTAGAAGCAAATCAACTCATTTACAATAATACAAGTACAGCACAGCCAGAAATAACGTAGTTGTACAGAAGGACTGAATTTAAAAATAAATGTGTGATTGTAATCTCCAGATGCTGCTCTGGCTTGCTGGGCGTTATCCCAGGGAAGCCGGTAGGTCTGATACATGAATAAAAATGAGTGTCTTTGGCACAAGTTGAAATCTGCAATCGGCACGGACAGAAAGGCTCCCATATGCCAGGATGCCCGTCTGCTGAGCCCATTAGGAAAACTTGGCTCTGTTCAGCCAATCTCCTGCACAAAGCCACGACACGTCAGGGCTTGGTTTTCAAATGGGAAAATCATTACTTAGTGACAGTGGGGCCAAAGGGGCATTCTGCTGATGGCTGTGCTGCTCGGTAGTGACGGCTATAAGCACAAGGTCCAGGGCCGGGTCCCGGTGTGACACCCTGCCATCATGCAGGAGGGGAAGAGGTGAATCACTGTGCCCGAGCCTCCCCTGTGCCAGGGACCAGAAGGGGAAAGGTGCGGAGAGAGCTTGTGCAGCAGCTTCAACCTGCCCTTCTCCCTGAGGGAATCTTGCTCTTGAGCCATGGGGAGAGACCCATTTTTGACTCAAGGTCTAAAGGTAGATTTAAAAAGATATAAAACCCTAGAAGTAGTAAAGGTGCACCAATCCACCAGCACACTGAACACCAACAGTCCTTGCCAGGCTCCCCCCAGGTGCTTCATGTTGGGAGCAGGCAGAACTAGGACAAAGCTATTTGAAACAACAAACTGCAATCCCTTATCCATGCCAGGCCCAGTGCTTATTCTATACTAGATGGAAAACTGCAGCAAGATGCCAGCCCACTTTCCCTAGCTGAGTCTGTGCCCCTGAGGTCAAGAACGAGGAGGAGAAAGAGTGCATTTTTGCACATTTCATATTTTCTCCGTTTTGAGGAGAGGTAAGGAGGCCGTTTTGATAAGGTAAGAACAAGAGACTGATTGCCTTTTATTAACCTGCTGGAAATAGCTGAGCAGCTTACTGTGGGTTTTGTAAATGCAGCTGTCTTTCTGAATATAGTATCTCTGTGCACTGACGACATTCACTTTGATATGTTCTCTTTCTTATGAATCTTTTACAAAAGGGCCCCTGACATGGCAGGACATGAGCCCCTGTGCTGGAGCAACGATTGCAAGTAGTAAAGGAGGGGCAGAAGTGCAGGACAAGCCTTCAGCTGGGTACAGGGCAAAAAGGAACAGACCTGGGCACAGCTGCAATGCAGATAATAGTGTTTGCGGGGCAGGACATTGCTCGCCAGTACCTAGGACATGAGGAAGAGGGATTAAGAGGATGTTGCAGTTCCTCCAGGCCTGCAGGAGGAAATGCTCTGGGCTGTCCAGTTCCACAGACTGAAGATGATGATTCAGTCAGAAAAAGCCTCTGGGCTTACAGAAGTAATCCCTGAACAATCAGTGGCAATGGAAAGACTGCTCTGAAAATTTCATTGGTTGTGTTAACAGGTAAGTTTTTGAAAGTCCATTTGAAGAAGCTTAGGAAAGTGATATTGGGGGCCTCAACAGTGAGTAACAAATTTAAAACATGACCTTAGTGCAATGGAGCAGCCCTGGCAGGGGACAGAATAGAATCCCCTGTCCCTGCTCCATACAGGGGGCTCGGGTCACTTTGCCAAATAGTCACATGGATAGAACAATCCTCAGGTGCAGTTGAAGGTTGCTCCCTGAACCAGCTAAGCAGCTAGGGTTCAGGATGTCTCATCCAGAGCATGCTGCCACCATGACAGCATGAACCTGCTCCTGTGACAGAAAAGGGCACTGCAATTCCGTCTCACACTTGAACTAGGCCAAAATTAAAGGATATTCAGCTCACCCCCACCTTTCCCAAGAACAGGCCAGCCAACTCAAAAATCAGCTTTCCGAGATGCTTTGAAATTAAAACACTGGATTCCCAGTTCTGCTTCACCCTCTTCCCTCACACTATTTCTACATTTGCTTTACGATCTCCGTCCTGCAACTGCAGAACAGCAAAAATGCGGTTACCCAACTGCCTCGGCTGTCAAGCAACAGGATGAAGGGTTTCTTACCATTGTAATACAGATGCAGTAGAGCAGCTGGGTACTCTCACTGCCACTGAGCAATAGTGCTGTTAATTTGTTTTGCATATACAACACACTGAAATCTATACCCCTCTGATCTCAGTTAAACGCTTTCCTCCACCTTGCTCATCACAGCATGACAAAGCAACATTTGGGTTTCACAGATGCACCAATCTCAGCTCCCCAATATTGCTGGTTCTATTCCTTCAAAATCTTACCTTGAAAGAAAGGCTTGATGCTGCTTTATCGTGTCCAGTTCATAGGTTGATGAATCACTCCTTTTTCGTGGCAGCTGCTTCTTTGGATCTTCTCCGTTGCTACGGGGAATATCAATGTTGCTCCTGCTGAGGTGTCTGCTGGCTTCCAGATTAGAGCCACTGGAACAATAGCTGCTGTTCACCGTTATTCCAGGGGACAGGAGGTCGGTATCCTGGGATTTGAAATATATGGATTTAGCACTCTGACAGCTGAATCACGAATACACTCATGTTATAACCTTCTCCTACCATCCTCCTTTCCCCATCTACCCCAAGATCCAATTGAGTATCTCAGATCAAACCACTTACTAAGGGTGTGGGCGATGCTTCACACCAGAGGGTGCTAATTTTATACCTTCACACCAGAGGGTGAAGCATCCCTGTTCAGAGCAAATGCACCCAAATTGAGACACATACGCACCTTAAGACACGCTTACCATTGATAAGGAATAGAGTCCTTGCTGTTTCATTAAAAGATCCTTACTAAAAACAGGGGCCATAGAGGCTCTGTGGCCAGCAGGAGACACTGGGAGCTAGCATTACCTGGACACTCACAACACTTCCTCGCCGACTGCTATTCTGGCTCTCAGACACAGTCTGATTGCTGTAGCATAAGGCATCAAATCCCAGGATTCCTCCAACACAGTCCCCTACCAAGCAGACCTGAAAAAGGCAACAGAAGAAGGGGAGGAGGAAAAAAAAAAGCCTCTTGACTTCAGTTCAGAGATGGCAGTTCAATGGAGTGCTGGATTATACCTAGGAAAGCTGCAGTAACAGGATGACCAGTGCTTTCATCAGTAAAACTATTCTGTCAATGAACATCTATCCACTCATACCGTGCAGACTCTCGTTAGCTAACATAGCTAATGTGCTCTGGCTGTCCCCACCAGCTGACTGGAGTGAAGTGAAAGCAACACGGAGCACAGATCACGGCACTAACTCCAGCCTCAGAAAACCAAGCTTGATTCCCTCCTTGCCAGCTGTCTGTGCTACTTCAGGTAAGCTTCCGTGTGCTTCTGCGCCCAGTTTGTACCCTGAGGTACAAACGCTGCCCTGCCTCCAAGGGTATTGAGCAGATAGGCACAACAGAGCACTGAGACCCCTGGGAAGGAGAGGGCTGTCTGGGTCCCCAGGCACAGCGCTGGCTGAGAAGAAGCTCACACTACAGCAGTGCAACGTGGCAGCTAGTCCAGCAGCTCAAACCTCACATGGCTAGACAGTCACTTCGCTCCCAGAGGTGTGAGGCTCAGTCATGCTCTTTTATGGGGCGCAGCAGCTGCAGAGTCTCAAAAAAGAAACCTGCTTCTTTGACAACTCCAGCATGAGCTGCTGAAGGTCCTTTAAAGACAGTAATGCTTAAACAGCCTTGGTTTGCAATGGGAGCAGAGATCACGTTTAGTAATAAAGGTAGCATTCCTGATTTGGAAAGGTGTGTCATGCTGAAAATTGATTAACTTCACAGCTTTGTAGCTTCATTTCTGAACACAAGCTCAGACTTTGCTTTGAATCCCAAAGGTTCAAGACAGAGCATAAGCAATAATCTGTCTCCCTCAGAAAGAAAGAAATAGAAGCACAACACTTTCTTATTGCAGCTCAACACTGTCATGTTTCCATCTCTCCTGAGAGATTAATGGAAAAGAGAGCTTCAGAAGGAAATTGCTTTACTTGCTCTTCCTTTCAGCCACTGGCTCACCTGGCCATTGAATGACATGCCCTCCTGGGATCTGATGAACTCGCTGTAGGCCTGGTTGGCTCTGATGATGACTGTGGCTACCGCTTCTTGGTACTGAGGGGATGATGTTGCTAGCAGAGGGAGTGCAGCAAGGGGAATGTGATCCTGGCTGTTGGACAGGCAGCCTTCATCATAACTATATGGGCTGAGGCTGGATAGGGCAAAAGACATTGGAAATATTCAGCCTAACGTACAGAGTGGGGAAAACCATTTGCAGACAGTACAATCAGTATTGTGCGTTCATTAAAAGAAAGCCTCAAGATAGAAAGGCCATTTATTCCACTGTGAATGGCTGAGAGCTTAATAAATTTTTCCCTCCCATCAAACGTAAATCTTTAAGGACAACATACTTACATTGACAGAACAACCCTCAGACAAGGAATTAAAGCCTTAGTATTTATTGGATTAATTAGAATAAATCAATCTCAGAACTCTTGCTGCATGATTACTGTATTCACTGTAGCTAAGTATGAAATCGAGATTGAATGCCTCGCTAGTATATTAATAAAGTGTATTCTCAAAGCGTGGTCAGAGCTTTCAATACTACATGCAGAACATTTCAGGGAAGCAGATTAAAAAAAACCCAAAAAACAAGAGTGAAATTTTATATGTGTCCCTCCGTGATAAAGTAGCATCAGCTTACCTGGACACCAGTGAAAATGCTTCGGAGCAGATGGCTGGGCAAGGGACCAGCCTGATGGCAATGTGTCCAAGAGCAGCTGGGTAATGTACCCTCATCACTGTGTCAAACACTGTCGCGATGGTGTTGACATCCCCTTGCTTAGAGCTCTGGTCACCACTTCCTGAGTCCAGAATGTTCCCTCCATGGAGTACCAAGAGGAGGACATGGATTTTACTTGGCTGCATTAATGGCTGCACTGATTCATCCTAGGTGGGAATGAAAGAGAACACATGAGAAAGGCTTATTTTGCAAAGAGGTTTTATTTGGTCCAAGTGCATTTTATGCAAATTTTATCAACTTTTCTTCCCCAAGCTCACACATGGGACATACAATAAATGCACTAACCACATCAAGTCCAGTCAGGGATGAGGCAAACAACAATCTGTGAAGCAAGGTATTTCCTGCAGAAACAGTATTAGCCACGATACAAGGCCTTGGCAAGCCCCCACCGAGAAGGCTGAGTTCACTTTGGGCCACCCTCACACAAAGGTAATTGCAGTGTGAGAAGGACCATGGAAGGACAAGAAGCATGAAGACTTTCTGAACAGAGACTGAAAGAGTTCAGAGAATTAAATGCCTGCTCTCAAACACAGTGGAGATGAGTAAAGAACGCTGGGGAGGGGAGAGAGGCACTTAAGTCAAAGGACAGTGCAGGTGCAAGCACAGAGTCTAAACTGATCCTGAATAAGTGTAGGCTGAAAATCAGGTTTCTAAACACAGGAGATATGAGGTTTTAGAGTAACATCTGCAGGTTTGTGGGTAAGAAACTAAACTGTCCTCCAGAAGGAACGTGCTTAATTTACAGAAGTGGGCATTAGATACGTGTGGATGAAACAACTGAGAACCTGACTACTCCCTTCCAGGTCTCTCATCCTACACATGCACAAACACACACACACAGCCTCAGCGTGACTGTCCTAAGCAGAAGGAATGCTGAAAGTAAAAAAAAAAAAAAAAAAAAAAAGGCACGGCACTGTAATCAGGTAAAACATGGCAGCAGTAAAGACATTACTTCTGTGTGTAAGGGTGGAAAAAAAAAAGAAATAGAAGATGGGTGTGCCTTTCTGTTGGGGTGCTGAGCTCAGCTGCAGCAGCGGACAGTAAAATGCATTCAGCAAAATTAACAAATGAGATCAAACAGGTCAGCAAGTGGCAAGTTACTGGGGAGAGAAGTTGTAGGAAGATATCAGTCATTGCATGTTTGCCTATGACAGAAGTTATAAATAAGACTTCAGATTTGCTTATACTGTTGCAAAAGAGGAACTGAAAATAAAAAAAACTTCAAGACCCTGTGACCCAAGGACTGGCCAAGATCTGGCTGGGAGACTGCTGCATGAACACAGTAAAGGTTTTTCTTTTGGCCGTCCAGGTCTTTTGCTTATTATGTTGAATCAATTCCTTGCCTAAACAAACAGGCTGTAGTTTGCGGCAAGGAGGGAATTATATCTGAACTCCAGAGTTGGTTATCACTACGTGCTGTAAGCCCAATCCTGATGCCCCAGGAACAGGTACAAGAGCATTCCTTTGTACTGGTCGCATATTATAACACAACAGAGCAGTAACTATTTTTAATATCTATTTGCTACCTGGGCTTTCAGTGTTTATGGCTCCCATACGGACTCAAATCCCCCACCCCAACACCTTTAAGATATGTGAAATCAGGATCTTTCTGCCTTATCCCATGTGCCAGGAGAGACAACATTTGGTAACACCCTGGGCAGCTCCCTGTGGAGGCACAGAAATAGCCATTGAGAGGCGGTGTGGAAGGGGTGGAGGGCAGCAGTATTTTCCATTTGGCAAATTCTTCTTATTTTAGCATCTTTAGTCACCTCTTGTCCTTTGAGCAGTGATTGAGTCCCTGACAAACCTGCTGGTGGGAGGAAAGCATGTCCAGGCACACATTAGCAACCTAACAACTAGCTTACATTTTTACCAGGTAATGTTAAAGCATGTCTTAATACACAGCCCACCGGAAGTATTAAAATTCACATCCAAGTCTGTAATAAAGATTTTCCAGACCTCCTGCATAAGAATGGCCTTTAATTATTTAGTACCATTACACTGTATTAATGCCCGCTCTTTAAACCTTCTCTGATTCCAGCTTACAGCGCCTGCAAAGCGAACTTTTGCCTGGGTGGAGGCATGGGAAGAGCGCTCTTAGCACCTCAGCACCACTTCTGCTCTCAGACAAATGCTTTGAGAGCTCATTTGGAGAACAACATGAGCCACCAAGCTCAGATCATCCAGAAGTTTATCAGCAGTCATCTGGAGGCACCTTTTCCTTCCAGTTCATTAACCCCTGCTCCTGAAGGAAGTGGGGAACATGCAAGCAACTGCTGATTAGTTTAGGGGTGGAGGTGGCAATTTAGAACTTTCTTGTAACATAAGTCTCATAAGACACCCGATTCCTGAACTACCTTTTGGTGGTGGAGGCTCTTAACCTGAAAATCACTGCAGTGGTGGCTAGGAATTTCATACTACTTTAGTAGACTGTGAACAACTACAAATAAATGTTTTTTTCAGCTCACTTTGAAGTCTGTTCTTTTTCTAAAATGAAGACAGAAATGGGAGGGGGTTGAGTTTGTACAGTCCTCTGAAGAAGACAATGAGTTCTCCACACCATCTTGAGCTCTAAGAGAACTCTTAGGAGCTGTTTCTGTCCCCAGCCCTTGAGCTCTCAATTAATTATGAGAAAGCCAAACCACCACAAACTTACAGCCTGGCACAGAGTTAATACCAAAACCACGCTCATGGGCTTTGATAGCCCATGACATAACTTAGGCACTCTGCAAGCAGCTACGCCATCTCTGCAGCACAGACAGGTGGCTGCTTTAAGGGTAGGATGAGTACAGCCACCCCAAGATGCACTGTCTCACTAGGACACTGAATTGCAAAAGCCTGTATACGCAAGTCTAGAAAGCTGGGGGGGGGGATGTGTTATTATTTATTTATTATTCTATCCAGAGCGCCGATATAGGCTACACTGTAACGGGTTTCCAAACAAGACCCTGAGCAGCTCCAAAGAGTGGGCTACAGCCGAGCTGTCACCTGGACCACTGCAGCCTGCCCCTCGGTGCTGCAGTAACGTGGCTTTCCTGCACCCTCATCCACCCCAGCTCCCCCGGCACTAGCAGGACAGCTCTACTCAGCAGTGCCTCAGGCTGCAGTTATCCCCACAGGATTAGTACTTTTTTCCAGCTGGATACCTGACACTGCCTGCAAACTACAGAGCATTTTCCACATGATGTTCAGAAGATGGGTGAAATAATCCCTCAAACCTAGCCATGAAGTACATAGCACGCCGGCGCGGCTCTGAATGACACACAAAGACAATACACCGCTTGCAGCAAAGGGAGCCGTTTCTACCCCATTTACCCCACACGGACACGTTCCAGCAACAAAGGATCTCATTACAAGAAACCAAAGCACTTACTTCAATGATGCTCAGCCTCTCCACGCTGGAGCCAACATGGTACTCTGCTGATGTCTCATGATACAAGTCACCTGGAAGCACACAGGTTTAAAATGTCAGCGCTGCAAGATGCTATTTGGCAAAGACACTCTTCCACAAAGACGCTGTTTGTACCAATATCTCTCAGCCTCTTCTGCCTCACATGTCCTTAATTATTTCATCAAATTGCCCTCCCATCCCTCCTGCCTCCTTCCACCTGAGAAGCCTGGGCAACGCTGGGTCACTTATTTTCCAGCAATTTCTCATAACCTCAGTAAGCGCCGAGGACATTAGTGAGCTCTTCTCTCATTACAGCGATACAGTATCACGGCTTTATTAAGGATGGCAACAACGGGAAATCCCTGCACAACTGTCAGAAATGATTGGTTTGTGGGAGAATAAAAGAAATTGCTTGAGCTATGCTGGGGGAGCAGGGATCCAATGCGTTCATACATCCGTGCCTACACAGACTGACTTTGTACCAGAAAGCCTACGTGTCATCTTCCACTGTGCCGCTACATGAATCGATCTGGCTGAGGAGCTAGCCTCCTTTCAAAGTCTCATAATGATGAGCAGAAAATAAAACCAAGGCAGATACAGAGAAGAACAAAGGATGGAGCAAGAGGAAAGAAGTGTCAGGAGAAATTCAAGTCATTCAAGACGGAGCTGAAATATTTCATCATTATACGAGAGAATCCTGGCTGTCACACAAAGGAGCCTAACCAAGGCGGAAAATAAAAGAGGATCAAGAGCTACCCAAACTCCCACTGGGCAATTCTCTTCGGTGGCACTGGGCAGTCATCTTTATTCTCTGTCTCAGCTTCTCCTTTTGTGAGATGAGGATAACAAGTTTTACCTTTTTCAGAATGTGGCTCTAACAATTACCTGGAAATACTGTAAGATATCACATGCAGTTTTTACTTAAAAAAAATTACCCTGGACATCATCGCATTCGGGGGTTTCAATTTTATCCATCAGATCATTGGAACTCCATTTGGTTATTTCTTTCGGGAACATTTCCTCGTTGTCAGACAAATCCTCTTTAAAAAACAAATTTTTTTGAGAGTCACACACACGCAAATACGTATACAGACAAGATCACAGAACATCATTTTAAACAAAATAGTAAGGCCCCATAACTATGTAATCTTATAAACATTTGGATGGCTTAAGTCATAATAAAACATGGTACTTTACCAGCTTTTGTTATATAGAAACCAAAGCACCTTTTGAAAAGTAAACAAAATGTTTTAGTTGCATGTTTTTAACAAACAAAAATCCTGAAGTGTGGAAAAAAAATAACATGGATTTTTAATGCTACCATTTCAAGTACCAAGTTTGATGTTTTTCTTGCCATACTTCCTGATGATGCTAAGGGAGCCAGAATGCTCCAGTATAGGAGAGGACAAAGCAACATTTGCCACCGCTGGGATCCTCCCAGACCTGTTTGAAAGCTGCAGGATGTCTTTGGGGGAAGCAGTGACAAGGATCACTATTGTTACCAGGACTGAATACCTGAAAAGGCATGAGTAAAAAAGGAAACGTGAGCTCCCTAGGCTATTTTTAGCCTGATTTCCTTAGGAGATGAGACTTGTTTGATCACACTGAGGGCATGTGTCTGCCATTTCCCTCCTACCTCAGGATCTTCTGAATCCCCTGACTCAGTTTAACTACAGTTAATAAAGAATAAGCGTCCCAAAAATATTACATTCCTAGAAGTGTAATTAAAAGAGAGACACATATAAAATGAGAGATCCTATAAAACACCTCACAGCAGTACCCAAACATAAGAAAGATGCATAGCCTTGCTCTACAGCAGACGTCAGAGGAGTTATACCAGGTCAGGGGAGAAAGGGGGGCTGTCAGGTGGGCGACACAGTAAGGCAGACTTGTGCTCTGTGCCCACACCACACGGGGCTGGGCTTCAGAGCCCTAACTCACCGCAGTGAAAGCCTGACACAGGCAGCAGTCCAGCCTTGCCTGTCCATGGACCTTGGCTGGTACATCCACAGGGAAACAAGCAGCTGAGCCCTGCAGAGGCATCACTAACCAGGCCATTAACAGCCAAAACACTGGAAGAATTAATCCCAGTGCCCCCAGCGGACACCCTCAACACCCGCTCCCCATGCCTGCTGGCCTGGGCTGGGTTATCCAACACGTGTAGAATTCCCTCACAAGAGGCTGAGCTCACCCTCAGCCCAAGCCTGAACACAGGGCAGCCAGGCTGGATCTGAGAAAGGGCTCACAAAATTGTCTACGTCAAACCAGAGGTCCTCTGAGTCAGCAGCAGCCCGATGTCTCCTCTGTCGGGTGGGAACATGGACCCAGTGCGAGCTGGGCAGGGCACCATGCAGCCCCCAATGCTTGGTGCTTAATGCTGGCAGGTTCTTGGGAAGCAGACAGAGCCCCAGAGCTCTTGCTTGAACCCACAGGAAACCAAATAGCAATGCAGGTCTTAAAGATGTCTTTGGTATGGGTTGCGGGTGCCTTATTTTCACAGAATGGCAAAGGTTGGAAGGGACCTCTGGGCAGCCTGTTCCAGTGCTCTGTCACCCTCAAAGTAAAGAAGTTCTTCGTCATGTTCAACTGAAACCTCTTATGTTTCAGTTTGTACCCACTGCCCCTTGTCCTGTCGCTGGGCACCACTAAGAGTCTGGCTCCGTCCTCGTGACATCCACCCTTAAAATTGATGAGATCCCCTCTCAGTCTTCTCTTCTTCAGGCTAAACAAGCCCAGCTCTCAGCCTTTCCTCGTAGGAGAGATGCTCCAGTCCCCTCACCATCTTTGTAGCCCTCCTCTGGACTGTCTGTAGTAGTTCCTCATTTTCCCTCTCCTTTCTCTCTTCTTTTTTTTACATTGAGGATATATCTTTTACTGTTACAGAGGTTAAGTACTTTCTAATTTATTTATTGTTCTGCACTTAGTATTTCTTTCCTGAAAATTCTGGGCTTGTAAATTTAATAAAGAACTATAAACATAATAATAACAGCAGTAATTACAGATGTCTTGAAGATCTAAAAGCTGTAATCTTGAGTCCTAGACTAGGATTCCCCCTTTCTTGTTGCTGCAGTGTTACTAAGAAAATAATTAGTTGGAAGAATCCTAGAATGGGGAACAAAAAGATTATGAAATATATTCGTCTTTCCAGCAAATCTGAGCAACAGCTTGAAAAAAATATACGGAGGGGACTAAGTGCAGAGCCAAGCAAAGACCAATTATTTTTAGGAGTTTCTATTTACACTTTGACCATAAAAAGAGTGACCTGGAAACCTCGTATCAGCATGCCATTTCCTTTTTCAGTTACAGAAAAAATCTGAGCAAATCCCCATTCCCTGCACAAGGCAGTGTGGAGCTACCTGTTCAGAGCAAGGGAAAAGCACAAGCGTGCAACACGCGTGCTGGCAGGGAATTAAGAGGAAAATCTCACTCAAAGCTCCTCCAGCAACTTAAGCTAAATATTAAACTTATTTCCTTGAGACGTTTAATTACAGCCCTTATTGCTGCTCAAGTGATCATTGAATGGGATATTACTCCCGTTATTAGCATTTATTACAGGATAGTTATTAGATATTACCGTATGTGTCACTATCTTTACCAGAGCATGCCAGTGAATGAGGATGAGTGGGAAGCTGGCGACAAGAAATCTTCTTGGGCTCAGGTTACGCCCACTGCACTGCGAGGAAATGTGTGTGTGTGTATGGGAAGCACTTCTGAGGAACTCTGCTCGGTGTTGACTCACATCCCAATCTGTGCCAGTTCCCATGGTACCAACCCCGCAAGCCTTCCCGGCAGGATGAGCTGCAAGTGGTGCAGACCGGGATCTGGGAATGTCTTCTGTGGGCCAAGAGGCAGCAAGAGGTCCGTCCCAAAGAGAGGGCTGTCTTGAACAGCACGCACATCGAGGCTTCAACTCGTAAGCCAAAATCCCATCAGACAAGGCAGACTTTTCAAACCCAACTGTGTGGATTGCAGAGGACAAGCTGTACATAAATGGAGACACGCTGTGTGCTAGCAGAAGAGGAGCTGCTTTTTCTGTTAGCAAGCTTCTAGAAGTATTGCAACAGAGGTGCTGATATCAACTGTGGCACAAGGCTCATTTTTGTTAATTCTCCTTCCAGGCCTGTTAGGAGTGTGTCAGGGATTCCCTGGGGGCCTGGATCAGAGGCAGAGCCGTCTCTATTTCAATTTTATTACTGAGTAATTAAAAAGGCAAAAAGGAGGGTAGATAGCAATGATGCCGTTTTGATGACTCACTCCTCTTTTCTTGTATGCATATTGGTACAATAAATCCCCTACATAGTTTTTGCTATGTAAATTAATAAATAGAGACACTTAAACTAAGTTGGCCCTTCTCCTTCTGGACAAGAGACACATTCATCCCCTAACTCGCGTGCCTCCTGGCCATTTAAGCTGCTGTTGTGCAAGTCACTACTCTGCAACAGCGTGCCACTTTCTATCCCAGAATTTCAGATGCATGCCTAAACACTTAATATGAGAACTTTTCTGGAACACAGTACTATCAATTTTTTGAGACTGAACTTTAGCTGAACATCAGCGAAATATAGCTGAACATCAGTGAAATTCTGCTTTACAGAACTAGGGCGTCATCTTCTAACAACCACATTTCACAGAAAGGTCACCAACTTCATCAGCACACGTCGCATATCTAACTTAGATTAGCATTACAAGCAGAGAGAAGAGTCCATCTGTTGTCAGTAGAGATGGAACCCTTCAGGCTTCAATACACATGAAATGAGTGCAGTGGAACAAAGCTTCTTCACACACACATGCACAGAGAAAAAAAAAAAAATAGCATGGCTTTCTCCTAATACGGATAGTCAAAATTACTTTGAGGATTCTGGAATCAACACTGATTTGGGCACCTGAAGTACCTTGTTGCATTCACTATTGTATTTCTTGGAATGGGAGAATAAGGAGTTAATAAAGGCAAACTCAGGTCTCTTCAGGCCCAGACAGGACAATTAATCATACCTCCTACTGATTAAAAATAAATTAGAAAAATAATCAGTCATACTGAATCAGAATCATTAGGACACACCCACAGTCCAGTTAGTATTGCTCTATTTTACCCACACTCATTTGCACCAAATAAAATACAGCTCCAAAGGTTGAGACTGTTCAAGCTCTCTTCAGACACATCACACTAAATCTGAAACGTTGCTGCCTTAAATATGAGTCTGCTGGGTGATGCTGGGGATGCCTGAAGAAGCTGCACTAATGCTGCACGTATCTTGGTTCAAAAGGAAAAGGCTTCAAACAAAGCAAAAAAGTCTCGCTTCCTTCCCCGCTCACCCCCCACCCTCATGCCTTCCGTTCTCTTACCCCACCATTTCAGGAAACAAACGATGGTGATTTAGGCTCCACATACCATGCGCATCAAAGAATTCATCATCTGAGCTGTCATCTGAATCTCTGGCAATGCTCTGCATCCTCCACTCGGAGATACTATGGCGTGAGGGACTTGCTGGAAAAAACAAAAAAGCCTTATGCGATACACTAAATCGACAAGACTGAGAGTTCCCAACATGATCTTTGCTGGAGGAAGAGTCGTGTGTTCTCTATGAAAATTCACTGCTGCAATATTAAAAACACAAAACCCTGATGATGCTGGTGTGATGTCAGTGTACCGCTTTACAGATCCTGTTTGTTTACTGTTGTCAGAACCTGCCAGCAAGATGCTACATTAAAGCAAGCTGTTTGTATCACTCTCATGCTATTTTGAATGGCAGCTATTTATAATTGTTAGTAGGACGTGCAAAATCAGCTGGGTTTTAAAGTTTGCAATTAGGAAGGAAGCAGGCTGATTGGAAGCTTTCTTCGTGCCTCTAATCAGCGCACAAACCATGCCTCTGCTTTGCTAACTTTCAGGTGGGTAGCTAAGCAGAGCAGCCTGGATAGAAATAATCTGTTTTCTGGAAGGAAATTGCTTCCACACAAATTGGATTAGAGATCTATTTAAACTTTAAACTTGAATGATTTAAGCAACATGCTGTACGACTACTTCATAGGGAGCTGTCAGAGCGGCTGTCCTGAGGGAGCGAGGAGAAAACCCAGCGTTCCTTTTGGTTCCCGTTTGCCCTCCTGTCCTCACACCTACCTGCTCCCTTTCATTTTCCCCTCCAGAGTTCCCTGTGCTAAATATAAACATATTACGTATTTTTTTCTTTTTTATTCCAGATGTAATTTAGCAATGATCCAGCCTGAACTCTTCTTGGCTGAACTTGCTACAGAAGAGCCATCTGCCAAAGGGAGCACTGTCCAGAGAACGACGAGAGAGAGGGTTTCTCCCCTCTTTCGGATAGTTCCTGCACGTCACACAGCACACACAGAGCGCTTCCAGCAGCCACCTAACCTAACACTGCAAAAACCTGAGCAGACTGACGATTTCTCACTTAGCATATACAAAGACGCTGAAAGGTTCTGGTTACTGTGACAGCTGCACGAGGCGTTTCATGCTATTGTTGTAACAGCGGTAAATCTGTAAGTCAAATTCTTCTAATTTTGCTACCCGGTTGTCACATGGGAAGAGGATGGAGACCCTGTGCAGAGTCATCTAATTGCAGCTCAGCATTGGCTCAGCAGCCCCCAACTACCCCACCACCCACCCCTCAGGGAGCAGCAAGCGAGGAGGTTGGCAGAGCAGAGCTAATTCACGCTGGAGTGACGTCAAGGCACTTGCATAATAGTTGCTAAAAATAGAGCATATAATAACATATGGGATGGCGACAAGGGTCCTGCTATCACCAGAGGTCTCGCTCGGATGGTACAGAAACGACTGAGATCTTTTGGAGAAAAGGCGTTGCTTTTTTCAGCTGGAGGTAGCGGTAAGTCAAGACAGCCCTCCTTGCTTCCATATGTTAATACGCTGCCAGTATGAAGAAGGATTAAAATATCTGCATGACGTACTTCCCAGCACATCACAATTCGTTTCTTTCATTACTTTTTCTTGTAAAAGCTGAGACATTCTGCAGTTTAAAAGAAATTCATGCTTTGCTACTAGTGAAAACCTTCAAGTGAAATCCTAAGAGGTCTGAAAACTACAGCTTCCAATGAACACGTCAGCAGTGGAAGAAGGGGTTCATAACAAAGAGCTTAATGACAGACAGGCACATCAATATAAAATCCTGGTGCAAGCAAAGTAGCCAGCATTTTTATCTTTACACAATGATTTATGAAGCATCTGGTAGGTTCTTCCCTGGGGCTCACTCCAGTGAGTCATCGCAAGGTAAAACTACTGCTCATCCCTCATTCGCCCCGTGATGAAATGGTAAATAAAGATGGAGACTCAACTCACAATATTTAGTGCATATGGGAGATGGAGAAGCTTCACTCACCTAGATGTCCCCTTCCACCGTCAATGGAAGAAATGCTGCCCTTTGGGGTTTTCAGAAAAATCACGATTTTGCCCTCTTGCTGTGAGAGCTGTTACCCTGCCATCAGCTGCGCTTGACTAAAAGGAGAGGGAATTGCTGAGGGTTCAAGCCTTCTGTCTGTAACTCGCTGGGGACTCACCCATTTGTACAGAATGGTCCGAGGAAGGAAAGAGTTTAGTACAGCAAAAAAAAGGTAACTGCATAGGGAGGGGCGAATGACAAAATTCAAGACTCAAAGCTGAGTCCTTACAGAGTATCCATGGGAGGGGGCTTTAAGAGCAAAATCCTGAAAGCTTCCTAAACGGTATCTAACAGGAAAACAAACATGATCCATGGTCTCACATAATCCCAGGCTGTGAGGTTTGGTCTCCGAACAACTACTCCACATCATCACCAGTGGAAGGCAGCAGCCCCCACCCCCCCCC